GGTGCTCCATCCCCCTGATCATCCTTGTGGCCCTCCTCTGGACCCTCCTCTCTCTGGTAATTGTAGCGTTTGTCAAGGGCTCGTGGTCTGAAGACCGTATCTAGGACTGGGGTACTTGGCTGTGACACATCCAAGCCTGAAAGCCTTTCTGAGAGTTTGCCAAAGGGAGGAAAAGCAAAATGCACTGACTCAGCCCTCCCCGTGACGTCTTCGTGACACCAAAACGGTTCCAACGGTCTCCTTCCAACAAACCAGCTGAGGTGCAAACGGAGAGGATGATGAAGGTTGGCTCCTCATCTGAGCTGCGCCTACTCTACCGCAGCAGACAACCCGATCCTCCCTAGCGTGCAATAAAAAGCAGATCTTCTGAATGAGGGAGACTTATCTTCAAAAGATTAGTTGCTTCCCAAGTCACTTTTTTGGCAGCGCCGAGGTGAATCGGTGCCCAAAATCCAACTCCAGGGTCCTTTGAGCGAGGAGAGACGAAGAGGTTACGGCTCACGAGCGGAGCCAAAGTGATGACCTCACGAGCTCCTTGCCATCAAGCTTTCAAAACAAAGCCTATTCACCAGTAAAAACCAGCACCCCCAGAGGAGCTTCGAAAAGACGGGGCAGGAGAAAGCTTCAAAACATCGGTTGAGAAGAAATTCCTTCCAGCGCCGAAGAGAAGCTGGATTTTCCTGCCTGTTGGTGTCCACAAGATGGCAGAGCCGTGCTATGGAGCATCTCCCAGAGGCAGGATGCAGGAATTCTCCAATTTCAAAACAAAAGGCTGGCAAAAAGCATTTTTTTTCCCCTCAGACAGCTATGACGAAAGAGGGTTTTGGGGGAGGTTGTTTTGGGTTTTGTTCATTTTTTCACCTTTTCATTTTCAACTAGTCATCGGCTTCCCTTGCAATATTTCGTTAAAATACAAAATAGAGAGATCCCAGCAGCAAAAATCAAATATATATAATATATCACTGTCCAGATATCCAGAATATTCTGCTTAACCCATTAGGGGGAGTCACCATCTCTCTGGAAAGATACACAGCCAGACTTGGATGCGCACTGGAAAATAGTTCCAGATTCACGTCCTGTGTTCATCCTACTTTTCCATCAAAGGAACCCCAAATTTCCTCCGATTCAGACTCACTGCCTCTCTCAAATTTGGGGCTCGTAACCCTGTTACAACTGCTGAAGCACATTCAGCAGCAAAACATATGGATCTGAGTCGTGCTGGAGGATGCTCGGGGCATCCTCAGTCGTGATGAAGGATGCTTGGACCGGCCCCTGGTGTGCTGGAGAATACTCAGACTGGTCCCAGTTGCACTGGAGGATGCTCAGACCAGCACCAGTTGTGGTAGAGGATGCTTGGAGTGGCCCCAGTGGCACTGGAGGACCCCCAGGACAGCCCCAGTTGCACTGGAGGACCCCCAGCACAGCCCCAGTGGCACTGGAGGACCCCCAGGGCAGCCCCAGTCACACTGGTGGGCTCCCAGAGCAGCCCCAGTGGCGCTGGAGGACCCCCAGGGTAGCCCCAGTCGCACTGGAGGACTCCCAGAGCAGCCCCAGTCATGCTGGAGGACCCCCGGAGCAGCCCCAGTCACACTGGAGGACCCCCAGGGCAGCCCCAGTCGCACTGGAGGACCCTCAGGGCAGCACCAGTCACACTGGAGGACCCCCAGGGCAGCCCCAGTCACACTGGAGGACCCCCAGGGCAGCCCCAGTCGCACTGGAGGACCCTCAGGGCAGCACCAGTGGCACTGGTGGGCTCCCAGGGCAGCCCCAGTGGCGCTGGAGGACCCCCAGGGCAGCCCCAGTTGCACTGGAGGGATCCCAGGGCAGCTCCAGTTGCGCTGGAAGGCTCCCAGGGTAGCCCCAGTCATACTGGAGGGCTCCCAGAGCAGCCCCAGTAGCACTGGAGGACCCCCAGGGCAGCCCCAGTCACGCTGGAGGACCCCCAGGGCAGCCCCAGTGGCACTGGAGGACCCCCCAGCACAGCCCCAGTTGCACTGGAGGGCTCCCAGAGCAGCCTCAGTCACACTGGAGGACCCCCAGAGCAGCCCCAGTGGCTCTGGAGGACCCCCAGGGCAGCCCCAGTTGCACTGGAGGGCTCCCAGAGCAGCCCCAGTGGCTCTGGAGGACCCCCAGGGCAGCCCCAGTTGCACTGGAAGGTGCTCGGACTGGCCCCAGTCACACCAAAGGATGCTCAGACTGGCCCCAGTCACACCAGAGGATGCTTAAACTGGCCCCAGTCGCACCAGAGGATGCTCAGAGGAGCCCCTTGGCTGCTGTAAAGCAACCCATGAGGTCTCAAACAAGAGACAGAACAAGAGTTTATGTATTTCCAACCTGAAAAGCCTCTTCTTGAGGAGGATCACGACACAAACACACCCGCAGTGTGGGGAAGCCCTGTGGAAGGTGGAAGATTTTTTTTCTTCCGAATATTTTCCCTTATTCCCCCCACGCAGCCATTTAAAACAAGGGATAAAGGCCAGCAAAAAATCACTGTCGGCATCGCACGATCGCATTCGAATCCAGTTAACAATGATACGTTGGGATTAAAGCAGCTGTCTGCAAGTATTTCACTTGTCAACGCCGAAGAAGATAAATCCTCACCCATAAGCACCCGGGCTCCCGGTTTCTCACAGGCACACATCACCCTACACGTGAAGGTGAGTCTCAGAAATCATCAAATCTTGCCTAAGTCTGCCCAGAGGCACAAACAAAACCCCAAATCCAGCATTCCCACTAGGTGTTCCAACACAAGAGTTGCCCCACGAAGAATTAAGTTAGATATTAAGGGTATTAATTCACTGGAGCCAACGGACTCAACCTGGTGTTACCCACAGGATGAGATGAATCATAGAATCATAGAATTGCCCAGGCTGGAAGGGACCTCCAAAGGCCATCTAGTCCGACCTCCCCGCAGTCAGCAGGGACACCCCCAACTAGACCAGGTTGCCCAGGGCCTCGTCGAGCCTCTCCTTGAATATCTCCAGGGAAGGGGCCTCAACCACCTCCCTGGGCAACCTGTTCCAGTGCTCCACCACCCTCACAGTGAAGAACCCTCTCCTCATCTCCAATCTAAATCTGTTCCCCTCCAGCTTGAAGCCATTGCCCCTCATCCTGTCACTGCAGGCCTTTCTAAACAGGTTCTCCCCAGCCTTCCTGTAGGCCCCCTTCAGGTACTGGAAGGCCGCTATTAGGTCTCCCTGGGTTCCCCTCCAGCTTGAAGCCATTGCCCCTCATCCTGTCACTGCAGGCCTTTCTAAACAGGTTCTCCCCAGCCTTCCTGTAGGCCCCCTTCAGGTACTGGAAGGCCTCTATTAGGTCTCTCTGGAGCCTCCTCTTCTCCAGGCTGAACAACCCCAGCTCCCTCAGCCTGTCCTCGTAGCAGAGGTGCTCCATCCCCCTGATCATCCTTGTGGCCCTCCTCTGGACCCTCTCCATCAGGTCTATATACTTCTTATATTGAGGGCTCAATATAAGACAACCAGAGCAGGTTCTAAAAGAAGTTTAATGCTAGAGAAGAACGTCAGTTCCTCCCACCACAGATGGTTTGATTCCCTGTTCCCAATTATTCCCCAGGGAGAATAATCTTATTTCTCAGAATTACTGTATCAGCTGAACCTGATGTTTTCTCACTGTGACCTAAAGTCCAGACATACCAGGCGTGGAAGAAACTGAGCAGAAAGCAGCTGCAGGCAGGGTTCCTCCCTGCCAAAGTCAGCAGCAATTCTCCTTTCTTTTCACTGGTTCACATACTTGGTACCAGTTAGCTCACCCCAAAAGAAATAAGAAGATCATCACATGGTTTTGCAGGATGAGCAAGGCTTTTCCTCACATGATGCATGAGCAAGAAGCCCGGGGAGTTCTTTGTTCAAAAAGTGAAAAGGGAAACACTACCCCAACACGTGAGATGTCTCTGGCCTTCCTTCTAGAGGCAAAGAGGAGAATTCAGCAAAAACATGTTGAGCATCCTCAGAAACCTGCCCAGCCCAGGACACTCAACTCCTTTGAGGATTAGGGCTCTGGAAAGTGAAAAATTATACAATACTGACCTATAAATTGACCTATTCAGTGGGTTCTTTTTTTAAGTGAGGGCCTCAACCTGCCATTCCCCCAACACCCAAGCATCGTAAGGCATTTAGCCAGAACTACCAAAATTGGGATGTAGAGACAGATCTGGAGGAGAAACAGGCTGGAGAAAACATATAAATAGGTGACCACTGCATATAAACACGCGTGCACCCCATAGGGGAAACATGTGGGTCAGCAAACCCTCACTGCTGGCTTCCTAGAAGGAAGAATTTTGGAGCAGTGAGGAGGCTTGGTGCTTTTCAAAATCTCCTTTCACAGAATCATAGACTGGTTTGGGTTGGAAGGGACCTTAAAGATCATCCAGTTCCAACCCCCTGACCTGGGTAGGGACACCTCCCACCAGACTCCAAGCCCCCTCCAACCTGGCCTTGGATATCTCCAGGGATGGGGCAACCACAGCTTCTCTGGGCAACCTGAGCCAGGGTCTCACCACCCTCACACCAAAGAGTTTCTTCCTGAGATCTTATCTCAATGACCCTTCTTGCAGGTTAAAACCATTCCCCTTCGTCCTATGACTCCCCTCCTTGATCCAGAGTCCCTCCCCATCTCTCCTGGAGCCCCTTGAGGGACTGGAAGGGGCTCTAAGGTCTCCCTGGAGCCTTCTCTTCTCCAGGCTGAACCCCCTCAACTTTCTCAGCCTGTCCTCACAGCAGAGGGGCTCCAGCCCTCCCAGCATCTTTCCTAAAATAGATAAGCCCTATGTCCATGTGTATATATATATATATATGTAAACATATACCATCGTCAACATTTCACGTCCCAACAAAGTCTCCGCAGTACCCACAGATAATTCTCCATCACAAACCCCACAGGACCATCCAGCCCAGGCTTTCCCACTTCTGGGGAGGGTTTCCTAAAGAAAGGAGCTGCTGGTTTCCACCATACCACGGGCAGAAGATGTCCTCATCGCCTACCTGCCACACTGGAAGGACCTTCTCTATGTCGTTCAAGTTGATGCCATCACCGTCCTCGTATTTCCCTTTTCCCAGCCTGTGGGAGGAAGAAAACAAAAACAAAACCAAGTGAAATCTGGCTGCAACCAAAGTTAATTTTCTATTTATGGCACATGGGGAAGATTAGTTCTTCGTGCAGAGGACCCTCATGAAAACAAAAAGCAGCAGAGAGAAAACAGTCAGTTCTGAGCAGTGACGTTGCGCGATTCAATTCCCAGCCCAACTGAAACCGAAAGGAAGAGCCCACCTGGACAACAAAGACACCAAAAAAAAAAAAAAAAAGAAAAAAAAAAGATGAGGATATAAAAATGTAATGAAAAACGTTTCCTTTGGAAGTGCTGCTCATTTGTTGGTCTCTACAAAAGATCCTATTTCCACGTGGAGAAAGGTGTTGGTGAACAAGCAGGAACGCACATCTCCGACACCAATCGATATAAACACAATAAATAATAATAAACACAATTTAAAACACCAAAAAAATAAGGTAAGAAGCCAAGCACTGACAGACCAAACATAAAGCTGGCAGCTGAAGACTCTCCTCCTACCAAGAAAGGAAAGAAAAAAAATAATAATCCAAAGATAATTACTACCTGGATGCAGAGAGTTTGTAATGATACAGAAGAAGAAAAAATGGGTCAATAAATATTATCCTTCCGCATTTAATAAACAACTGAGCTGATCTGTTTTTATTCTACAAGAATGATAATGTATTTTTTTTTGTCAATTTGTGACAAGATATTATTAAATTACATATATTAGATAGAAAGGTTGATAGCAGCAGGTCCAGGTAATCAGTGCTGAGAAGTCAGAGAACAACAGATCTTGGTGGAATTACAGCAAATGGGGTAAAAAATGCAGAAAACCAGAATGTGGTAAAGCACCAGACTTAAAATCCAGCAAATTGGGCTGGAGCCCCTCTCCTGGGAGGACAGGCTGAGAGAGTTGGGGGGGTTCAGCCTGGAGAAGAGAAGGTTCTGGAGAGACCATGAAGCCCCTTCCAGTCCCTCAAAGGGGCCTACAAGAGATGGGTAGGGATCCTGGATCAGGGAGGGGAGCCATGGGATGAGGGGGAAGGGTTTGACACTGAAAGAGGGGAGATGGAGATGAGATGTGGGGAAGAACTTCTTTGGTGTGAGGGTGGTGAGAGCCTGGCCCAGGTTGGCCAGAGAAGCTGTGGCTGCCCCATCCCTGGAGGGCTTCAAGGCCAGGTTGGAGGGGGCTTGGAGCAACCTGGTCTGGTGGGAGGTGTCGTATGAACTGGAAGAGCAAAAGCACAGAAAGAGCTAACGCTGGAAATTAATGGTAGACCAATTCAGGTCAGAAACAAGGTACAGTTCCCTGGTTTTCCATCAACAGTCACTTTTATCATTTAACATAGCACCAAACTCACTATCTGCAAATAAAATCAGACATCTTCCCAGAGGAAAACTCTTCAACCAAGCAAAAAACCACTTGAGGTCAACCAACTGGATGCAACCTTGGCCAAGTGGCCAACCTTGGCCAAGTAATCTGGAACAAAAAGGTCTCTTTGGCACTTAAAGTGTAGAAAACATGTTTTAACAGCATCTTTCCTTTTTTTTTTTTCTTTTTCTAGTAGGTATTTCATTGCACACTCAAGTGAGAGGGAAAAGCCTAGAGAGCATGGCCAACTGGAGGTTCTTGGAGGTTTAGCCAGCTGAATCACGCTCAGCAGAGGTTCGGCGTGGAGAGCTGATGAACACACAACAGACACAACTTTTAAAATTAACATATTAAAAAGAAAACCACAACAATTTTTGTCTGTGCTTCCTCAGATTATTTATACAACCTGCATTTTGGGAGATGTGCTGCTTGGGGTGATGGCATCCATTGAACTCTTCTGCATAGACACTGATTCTTATTCCATTTTTACAGCTGTAATATTTAAAAATAATGAAGTATCTCATTTCTATACTGTCTTCTCTACTTGTTTGCACCCTGGGCATCCACAGTCCCACCAGGAATTGGAGACAGATCACAAAGCAGACCCTGCTGCATCCTCCTGACACGTAGAAGATGGCTCTGGTAGGATCATCTGGCAAGTGCCATCAACCAGGGAGCCTTTAGTTCGGCAAAAAAACTTATCTGAGAGACAATTTCTGTCCCTACATACAACGTGGCAACGAGAAGTCACCTGCAATCTCCTCAAACCCATCTTTTAGCCCCATTCTAAACTTTTTTTCCTTCCTCTGTGGGCAGGAAATGATTAATGACTAGGAAAAAAAATTACTAAAATTTGATGGGATAAAATCCAGTTATGGAGTTATTACTCTTTTTTTTCTTTAGCAGAGATTTTGCAGCAAGTTTTGTCAGGGATGAGTTGAAACCTCGTCATAATTTGGGATAACAGGACAGGTAATATAGCCTGGAGCTGTTCAATGAAGATATTTTACTGCTAGCAGAGAGGAGATGAACACTTGGATCTACACTCATCCAGTCGATGCTCTCTCCTTCACAGAGAATCACAGAATCACAGAATCTTCTAGGTTGGAAGGGACCTTAAAGATCATCTTGTCCAACCATCAACCCAACTGACAAAAATAGACACCCACACAACAAACAAGGAGCATCACCATCACTAAACCAGACCTCCCAGCACTACATCAACCCGTCTTTTGAACACCTCCAGGGATGGGGCCTCAACCACCTCCCTGGGCAGCCCATTCCAATGGCTGAGAACCCTTCTCTGGACCTGCTCCAGCCCCTCAATGTCTTTTTTATGGTAGGGGGCCCAAAACTGGACACAGCACTCAAGGTGAGGCCTCACCAGTGCCCAGTACAGGGGGACAATCACCTCTCGGGCCCTACTCACCACACTGTTCCTGATACAGGTCAGGATGCTGGTGGCTTTCTTGGCCACCTGGGCACACTGCTGGCTCATGTTCAGCCGACAGTCGACCAACACCCCCAGGTCCTTTTCTGCCAGGCAGCTCCAGCCACTCTGCCCCCAGCCTGTAGCGCTGCAGGGGGTTGTTGTGACCCAAGTGCAGGACCCGGCACATGGCCTTGTTGAACCTCATCCCTGAAGTCTTGCTGGGGAAAAGAAATCCTGTCACTTTTGGGAACTGTAACTGGGATCATCGCTAAGCCAGGATCTTTCCTCCAATGTTGAGATGTTGAAATTTAGGAGACCTGGATCAAGTAGGCTTGGATCCAGCATGGTTTAAAGACAGATCTCTACCAAGCAATGGAAAATACAGTCAGCAGCTCTGCTCCAGCCCAGAACTGGATGACAGAGGAGCCAGAGACAGCATCCCCCAAACCTCATACATGGTCCAGCTCCTCTTAGAATCATAGAACAGTTTGGGCTGGAAGGGACCTTAAAGATCACCCAGTTCCAACCCCCTGCCCTGGGCAGGGACACCTCCCACCAGACCAGGTTGCTCCAAGCCCCCTCCAACCTGGCCTTCAACCCCTCCAGGGATGGGGCAGCCACAGCTTCTCTGGGCAACCTGGGCCAGGCTCTCACCACCCTCACACCAAAGAAGTTCTTTGGAAGAATTTCCTCCTAAATTCTCTTCCCCACGTCCTCCACTTGAGTTGCACCACCCAACTAGCATTCCTTCTGCAAAAAAGAAGTTAGAGACATCACTGGAGACCACGGTATCGCGCGCACGGCACTCACCCTTCTCTGTCTATGTGAGGCAGCGGGTGTTTTGAGGTGTTTCGCAGTTTCCTGTGAAATTGGGTGAAATCTAGTTTTTCAGGCTGCAAGTCCCACGTCGCACCACTAGGAGACAAAAACAGGGAAAGACAAAGAAAGAAAGTCCACTGCTAATTAAACATCAACAGGTTGAAGAGCAGAGGGCACATCGGAGCCTGCAGACAAGAGAAGGTGGTCCTTCTGGAAGAAGGACTCCCTGCTGCAGAGCATGTGGTTGGGGGATTCCAACCTTTTCATTTCTTCTGGGTTCTTTTTGGAGATGCTGAACCCTTGTTGGTTGCTCTAAACCCATAACTTTCAGGTATGATGCAGCATGGTGCAGCACACACCTTGCTAGCTATACTTGCTCTCTGCTTCACAACGTGAAGTGGCCTGGTCCACGCAATGGAGATGTTCTCTCTGGTCCTGGACCACCTGCCTACTCCAATGGCCGGGAGCAAGTCCCAGGTGGGAACTCAACCCCTGCAAACTCTTGCAGTGCTCCAGGAACAATGACAAATATGCATAAAACTGGTCAAAGAGCATATTTCACCGCTGTCCCCATGTTGGAGCAGCAGCTGAAGAGCTCTTCCCAGCAGCAGCAAAGTCAATGCATGACTGCACCACCAATCAATGGAGGAGTAAAATCCTGGAGCAGTAGCTCAGAGCTGCATCAAGTCTTCATAGAATGGTTTCAGTTGGAAGGGATCTTAAAGACCATCTAGTTCCACCCCCCCCTGCCACGGGTAGGGACATCTCCCACTAGACCAGGTTGCTCAACACCTCATCCCCTCATCCAACCTGGCCTTGAACACCTCCAGAGATGGGGCAGCCACAACTTCTCTGATCTTGCCTGCACAGTTTTTGGATGATTACAAAACTACTGGTTTCAGATATTTGGGCCTCCAAATCCATCCATGGCCTCCCCTAAGCACATGGGATACTTTAAGTAGATTGATTGTGCTTAATGGGGATGGGGAGGCTCAATGGGGGTGGGGAGGAGGAGAAGGAGAAGCAGTGACATGAGTTTTGGCAGATGACTCACTGGCTAAGAGAGGCTTAGACAATTTTAAAACCAGCTTACCTGAAGGACTCAAAGGTGTTGGCAGCCCAGATGTCCGTGCCCAGCATGTCAAGGGAGCTCTCCTTGTTGCCATTCTAGGAGGGAGGGAAAGGTGGTTACTTGCCAGAAGGCACGGACCATGGCACAGGCCAGCACAGCCTCTCCCGTCACCAACCTTGGAGGTGAACCAGCTCTGTGCGTGGGCTTCTCCACTCCCCTGTGAATCCACACTCACCCTCAAGGCAAGGAGTGACACAGTTTTGGCCTTGGGGACGCAAAGCTGTGGACAACACGGAGCAGACAATATGTAGGCTCAGCTCTGACTCCAGCCCTGTTCTCCTAACCCATCGGCCACAACCTCCAAGACCCACCGAGCTCCAACCGTTGACATCCCAGCCATGAAGACACCCAACTTCAAAGTCACAGACCACCTGAGGTGGGAAGCTCATCTAACTCCAACCCTCTGGCTCGAGCAGGGCCACCTACAACCAGGTGCTCAGGATCACATCCAGGGATAGAGATACCCTTCACCAGCAGCTACCAAAGCCTGTTGTCACCAAGAAGGATGAGGAAAGCCATCCTGCTTCTTCAAGGAGTCATGGTGGCATGACTTCTCCTTGCTCTAACAGCAGCTGAGGGACCTCAGAACGCCGCACTGTGCCACCTCTGCCGTGCACACCAGCAAACGAGCTCACACGTTGGTGTCCCACCAACGCTAAGGTGACCGTTCCTTCCCTCCAGAAGAAAAAACATCACAGTATAATCTGGTGGGAATTAGGAGAAACCTCCAGCAAACTGCAAAGCACCTTGAATTTTCCCGTGACAGTTGCTTTCAGAAGTGACCTGAAGCAAAAACATCTAAAGCAAAGACCTCACACACATTAGAATCATAGAATCATAGAATGGTTAGAGCTGGAAGGGACCTTAAAGATCATGGAGTTCCAACCCCCCTGCCCTGGGCAGGGACACCTCCCACCACACCAGGTTGCTCAAAGCCCCCTCCAACCTGACCTTGAACCCCTCCAGGGATGGGGCAGCCACAGCTTCTCTGGGCAACCTCCTCCAGTGCCTCACCACCATTCCTTAAATTTTGGAGTTCTCTTAGGACTTCTGCTTTGCACCACCTCAGAGAAACATGAACATTGCTTAGGTCTCCCCATCTCCAATGGTGACAACAGCTCCAGTATCTGCTCAGAAAGTACTTAGCTCAAGCCAGCCCTGCTGTGTATCCTCGAAGTGAAACGAAGTATAGTCTCCTCTTGGCAGGTATTCTAATTGCATGAGCATGCCTAAATTTGAAATAGCCTTGGAGGGGGCTATTTTTCTCTTTATTCTTCTCAGAGAGAGGATTCTGTGACAAATGGCCACATATCAGCAGAATTTTGGAAAGGGAAGTAGATTAAACGCAGCTCATCTTTTACCAGCCACCATCTCTGCCCTAAATCACACCAAATGTCACCAACAGGCTAGCTGAAGAACAGATGGAAAGACAGGAATCATAGAAGGGTTTGGGTTGGAATGGACCTTTAAAAGTCATCTAGCCCAACTCCCCTGCAATGAGCAGGGTCATCCTCAACTAAATCAGACTCCTCAGAGCCCTGTCCAACCTGACCTTGAAGGACACCTTCAAGGGATCTGGACATCTACCACCTCTCTGGAAAACCTGTTCCAGGGTTTCACCACCCTCATTGTAAAAAAATTCTTCCTTATATCTAGTCTAAAATCTTTCCTCTTTCAGGTTAAAACCATTACTCCTTGTCCTATTGCAACAGGCCCTGCTGAAAAGTCTCCTCCCATCTTTCTTATAAGCCCCATCTAGGTATGCAATAGCCTGCAATAAGGTCATCCCAGGGCCTTCTCCAGGCTGAACCACCCCAACTCTCTCAGCTTGTCTCCTCTCTCCAGAGAAGACCCTGAGGTGTTTGTGTGTAGGTCTGTGAGAGTGGCTCCCAGGAGAGAACACATATTGAAGTCTCTTTTATCCATCTGTCTAGAAGCTCCCCACAAAGTTCCTCACCTTTTTGACGTTGAGGTAGCAGAGATGTTGCCTGAGACTTTTAATAATTCTATAATGCAGTGATTCTTCATGGCCCCTTTTCTGTCATCAGCCTACACATGTCCTCCCCACAGAAAAAAGGCTGCCCTCTCCACCCTTTAGAGGTGAAGTAAGTGAGGTTGGACTTTGCTGGGACCATTTAAGAAAGACTTGACTCAACATTTCTCACCCATGTTCAGATTATTTAAGTATTTCAGCCCAAACGGTCCCAACTCTGGTGAAACAAGGGCTGGAGATGGTGCCTCCCATATGTTCCCCATCCACTCATTTCTGCCGTTTTCAAATATCATTAATAATAACTGCTCAGACACTAAAAACTCATAAAAACGTGCCTATTTCTTAACAAAGGGCCAGACCTCTGTCTGCTCATGAAATGAGCAGTGTTTTCCCAACGAGCAGGACACGCGTCCTCAGTGCATGGTGGGACTTCATAGAATCGTAGAATCATAGAATTGCCCAGGCCGGAAGGGACCTCCAAGGGTCATCTAGTCCGCTCCCCCCGCAGTCAGCAGGGACCCCCCCACCTAGACCAGGTTGCCCGGGGCCTCGTCGAGCCTCTCCTTGAATATCTCCAGGCAAGGGGCCTCAACCACCTCCCTGGGCAACCTGTTCCAGTGCTCCACCACCCTCACAGTGAAGAACCCTCTCCTCATCTCCAGTCTACAGCTGTTCCCCTCCAGCTTAAAGCCATTGCCCCTCGTCCTGTCACTGCAGGCCTTTCTAAACAGGTTCTCCCCAGCCTTCCTGTAGGCCCCTTCAGGTACTGGAAGGCTGCTATTAGGTCTCCCCGGAGCCTCCTCTGCTCCAGGCTGAACAACCCCAGCTCCCTCAGCCTGTCCTCGGAGCAGAGGTGCTCCATCCCCCTGATCATCCTCGTGGCCCTCCTCTGGACCCTCTCCAGCAGGTCCATGTCCTTCTTCTATTGAGGGCTCCAGACCTGCACACAATACTCCAGGTGAGGTCTCACCAGAGCAGAGTAAAGTGGCAGAATCCCCTCTCTGGACCTGCTGGCAACGCATCTTTTGATGCAGCCCAGGATGGGATTGGCCTTCTGGGCTGCAGCTGCCCACTGCCTGCTCATGTCCAGCTTCTCCTCCACCAGCACCCCCAAGTCCCTTTCCTCAGGGCTGCTTTCCAATCCCTCACCCCCCAGTTTGTATTGGTGGTGAGGATTGTTCCGGCCCAGGTGCAGAACCATTGACAGCCATTCCCAGCACAACCACCACTTCAGACACCAGATACTCCCAAAACAGCCACGTTGCTCCCTTTTTTGTGTCTTCTCCAAGGGCTCCATGGAACACCATTTTGCACCTCCGGGGGATCTGCTGCTCAACTTGTTTCTGCAGCAGAAACAAACTACCAGAAATATATCAAATTCCCACGCTTGGTTACGGAAGCAGAGCTTTTAATTTTAGGCAAATGTAAGGGAAATTTTCTCCCAGCAAGGAGAGAAATTAGTTTTCTGAATATTTAGAAGCGTCCTCCTGCAGTAAAATGAAAATACACACGTGCGGGCCTTTATAGCTATCACCCAAAGAAGAGATACAGAATCACAGAATCACATGGGGTTGGAAGGGAGCTCTGGAGATCATCTAGTCCACCCCCCTGCCAAAGCAGGGCCACCCACAGCAGGTCCCACAGGCATGTGTCCTGGTGGGGTTTGAGTGTCTCCAGAGAAGGAGACTCCACCACCTCTCTGGGCAGCCTCTGCCAGGGCTCTGCCACCCTCACAGGAAAGAAGTTCCTCCTCATGTTGAGATGGAACTTCTTATGGTCAAGTTTGTGCCCATTTCCTCTTGTCCTATCCCTGGGCATCACTGATAAAAAAACAGCCCCATCCTCTTGACACCCTTCCTTCAAGTATTTCTAGGCCTTGATCAGATCCCCCCTCAGTCTTCTCTTCTCCAGACTCAAAAGACCCAAGTCCCTCAGCCTTTCCTCAGCAGAGAGATGCTCCAGGCCCTTCATCATCTTTGTAACCCTCTGCTGTCCCCTCTCCAGCAGTTCCCTGTCCTTCTGGAACTGGGGAGCCCAGAACTGGACCCAGTGCTCCAGCTGGGGCCTCCCCAGGGCAGAGCAGAGGGGCAGGATGACCTCCCTCCCCCTGCTGGTCCCACTCTTCCTGATGCCCCCCAGGATGCCATTGGCCTTCTTGGCCACAAGGGCCCACTGCTGCCTCATGGGCATCCTGTTGTCCCCCAGGACCCCCAGGTCTTTCTCCTCAGAGCTGCTCTCCAGCAGGGCACCCCCAACCTGTCCTGGTGCAGGGGGTTATTCCTCCCCAGGTGCAGCACCCTACACTTGCCCTTGTTGAAGTTCTTCAGGTTTCTCTTTGCCCAACTCTCCAGCCTGTTCAGGTCTCGCAGGATGTCAACCACCCCTCCCAGTTTTGTATCATCAGCAAACTTGCTGAGGGTACGTTCCATCCCTTCATCCAGGTCACTGATGAATACACAGAAGAGGACTGGACCCATCTTTACAACCAGTTTCTGTCTCAACTCACAGGGCAGGGAACGTGCTTCCTGCCCAAGAGAACATGCGCTGCAGGGCTCTTGCTAAAATGCTCACAGCACGCCACCAAGACTTAATAATACAACTTAAAAAAAAAGCCAATTCTCAAGTCCAGGAACAAAAAGAAAAACGCCCAAATTGCATGTATTTAAGAAAGGAAGTGATTTGCTGTCAGTTCCCCCAGGACTGCAATTATAACCGTAAGGAGTTTTAACTTGAAGCTCCCGATGACCCAACCCTCAGCTTCAGATAATAATTTTCGACCGCGAAGGGGTTAGCACTGCTGAAAATTAATTAAGCCACCAGCAAAGCTGATTGAGAGACAGACTAATGAGAATGAGATAAATAACCAGAACGACCAGAGATCTGGTAAAGCCAATCCTACACCCAGAAATGTCTAAACACAGGTCCATAACCTCAGTCCCTGTGAGCCATCTTCATCCATGGTGGTCCAACCCCTGTAGCTGCCCGCACAAACACAGGGATGGACCACGCCACCGGCTGCGTGGACTCTGGCTGTTTGTCCATGGATGCAGCTTCAGCAAATTCTCCACAAAGTCAGCATTTGCATGCCTGCAGCAGCTTTTTCACAAAGCCCAGCTCAGCGTCCCACCGGTTCCTCTCGCCGCTCTTCATTTCCAGCCTCCAGCAAACCACGACAAATGCAAAATTCGTGCTCTTCGTCACGCGATTGCGACGGCGTCGGCTCATGGCCGTCCTTGGCATTAACGTAGAACGACGCCACGGAGTCGGCTGAGTCCATGGTATAAATTCAGGAATTATGCTGTGTCACATCTTACTTCTTCAGAATTTTTCAGTCCTACGTTTGAGGAGATTCCCCCACCTTTCCTCTTCCTCAAAGTATCATAGAACGGTAGGGGTTGGAAGGGACCTCTGGAGATCATCTCCTCCAACCCCCTGCCAAAGAAGGTCCATGCAGAACAGGTTGCACAGGAACGTGTCCAGGTGGAGTTTGAATGTCTCCAGAGAAGGAGACTCCACCACCTTCTCGGGGCAGCCTCTGCCAAGGCTCTGCCACCCTCAAAGTAAAGAAGTTCCTCCTCATGTTTCGGTGGAACTTCCTATGTCCAAATTTGTGTCCTTTACCTCTTGTCCTGTCACTGGGCACCACTTGAAAAAAGACCAGCCCCATCCTCCTGACACCCACCCTTGAAGTATTTATAAGCATTCATAGAATGATAGACTCATAGACTGGTTTGGGTTGGAAGGGACCTTAAAGATCATCGAGTTCCAACCCCCGTGACATGGGCAGGGACACCTCCCACTGGACCAGGTTGCTTAAAGCCCCATCCAGCCTGGTCTTGTTAGATCATTGATGAGATTCCCCCTCGGTCTTCTCTTCTCCGGACCAAAAAGACCCAAGTGCCTCAGCTTTTCCTCATCAGAGAGATGTTCTCATCCCCTAATCATCTTTGTAGCCCTCTGCTGTCCCCTCTCCAGCAGTTCCCTCTCCTTCTGGAACCGGAGAGCCCAGAACTGGACCCAGTGCTCCAGATGGGGCCTCCCCAGGGCAGAGCAGAGGGGGAAGATGACCTCCCTCCACCAGCTGGCCACGCTCTCTCAGCTGCCTACAACTCCTAGCTGAACTTTAGTAGAAAACAGAAAGGACAGACAGACATTGAAATGTCTGAAAATGCTCTGAATAAAAGTTTTCTTGTTGAAAATGTCAAGTTTTCCTAAGAAAAATATAGATATTTTGAGGAAGATATTATTATCCTTGCTCAAAGAAAAAGGTATGTTGAATTTCGCTCCTCTAGAAAGGACCGTCACTTTCCAGCAACAACATGGTTCTGCAGGTCCTCTCCCACCACAGCATGGTTCAGGAGGACAGATATTTCCTCAGGCTCTCCAGAATGGATTAGATGGACGAATGGATCAGGACTTTGACCACTGGTCCCCAAATCTCCCAGAGCCCATCCTCCACTTCTGGCACAACCAATGCTCATGTGTGCAGAAGTAGAGCCTCTCCAAGAGGAGAGGAGAGACTGATTCCCCCCGGCTACACCCTCCTTTCAGGGAGTTGGAGAGAGCGAGAAGGTCTCCCCTCAGCCTCCTTTTCTCCAGGCTGAACCCCCCCAGCTCCCTCAGCTTCTCCTCGCCAGACTTGTGCTCCAGACCCCTCACCAGCTCCCTTGCCCTTCTCTGGACACTCTCCAGCCCCTCAATGTCTTTCCTGTGGTGAGGGGCCCAAAACTGGACACAGCACTCGAGGTGGGACCTCACCAGTGCCCAGTACAGGGCAATGGTCACTTCCTTAGACCTACTCACCACACTGTCCCTGATACAGGCCAGGATGCTCTTGGCCATCAATTCTTAAAGTCTTTTGCAGGGAGGAAGGAAAGTCTCCATTTAGCCTGGCTGATGGCTCCCTCAGAAAGCAGCTGAACTCAAGATCACCATTTAACACCATCTTCGTGGTGTCCACTCACATATTAACCTCCCTCATAATTTCTCAAAATTAAAATACTCCAAGACTTCATAGAATCATAGAATCATAGAGGTTGGAAGAGGCCCTTGGGATCATCGAGTCCAACCATCTACCCTACTCTACAAAGTCCTCCCCTACACCATGTCCCTTAGCACTGCATCTAAACGTCCCTTAAACACAGCCAGGGACGGTGACTCAACCACCTCCCTGGGCAGCCTATTCCAATTCAAATAAAGAAAAAACCCTAATTTCCTTTGCGCTAAACCAGCTGACTAGTGACTTCTTTCCCAATATGAAGGCACCCGACACACCTCAACGGATGTCTTGAGGCAGAAGAACAGCTACAGCCCTCAGCAGCCAAGTCACCCATTATGCGTGAGTTAATTAGATGTCTGAGGTGGCCTTCATAATTGACATGCACTCAACACCCTACGTGTAGGCACACACACAAAGCACGTCGTTAGGAGGATGCCTCCCAGAAGCAGCAAGCAAAGGACATGACTTCAGCATATACCTTGGTCCATTGCCTGAACTGGCTGCTGCTTCTCCTGCGGCTGCCAGATCTGGATCCAGACCCACGCCTGGAGCCTGATCCCGGTCGGGATCCTGCGCTCCCACTGCTGCTGTGATCCCACTCTTCCTGGAAACAACAAACAGCTCGCTTTAGTCAAGGGCAACGCTGTCCCACACCCCCAAAAACCACTGATTGGGTGTCCAGGAGAGCTCCAGCTCTCAGACTACACGTGCAAGCACCTACAAAACCATGGCCATGCCCAACGCTCTGATTTTGGGGCTTTCTTGGAGCCCTTCAAGATGTTCTATTGACACATTGCAAAGAGATGACATTGTGGGAGGCTTCAAGAAAGGTAAGATTTGGCTCTAGTCTATATGCATGGGGAAAAATACTTACCTCTCTGTCTTCATGAGGAACCCCACATCCTCTAAAACTACTTAAGGGCACTTGGACAACGCCCTCAACAACGCGCTTCACCTTTTGATCAGCCCTGAATTGGTCAGGCAGTTGGACTAGATGATCATTGTAGGCCCCTTCCAACTGAAACCGTTCTATTCTATGCTATGCCCCATCCCTGGAGTGGTTCAAGACCAGGTTGGATGGGGCTTTGAGCAACCTGGTCTGGTGGGAGGTGTCCCTGCCCAGGGCAGGGGGTTGGAACTGGATGGTCTTGAAGGTCCCTTCCAATCCAAACCACTATAATTCTACTCTATTCTATTCCCTTAATTCTCCTCCCAAACCCAAATCAAGTCCTCAGTCAGTTTTTCCCTCTGCTTACCCCATTGTTGGGAGTCCAGCCACTCACACACCAGAAGACACTTGGAGTTCACCAGGAGACACATTACACAAATAACTATTTTCACCGATTAAGGCGCTGTGCCCAATTATTCTCCTTTATTTTCCTAACACTTCTGTTCTACTGTGGAGCAACCTGCAGGTTCCTTGTTGGGTTGGCAGCCCTCGGGGCAAGATGAATCATCTGAAAACCAGAAAAACTCACCCAACCAGTCCTATCTACCCAAACATTCCACAAGGTGCTTGGGGAGAAAGGTGGATATTGTCAGGGTAATTGCTCCAAAAGCTTTGCTTAGAGGCTTGGGAAAGACCTTTGAAGTGACCTAAAATGATTAAAAAAACCATTAAATCTCAGAGTGCAGAATAGTCACCTCTTTCAATATTCCGAAAATCTGGGAAATATAAAGGGGAGCTTCAGGTCTGGTGTTGAGGTGACACTTAAAGAGGGCTTCTCATGCCTCAGACATCCCCGTGGGGCTACACAAGGACCTGAGGACACTGCCATGGACTAAGACACAGGCAGAGCCACCTTGGCCTTCAAGAGCCAAAAGGACTCAGCAGCAAAGCAAACAACAGCCAAGTCCAGGTCGCTAATCTGGGGGCACAGACCAGGTCTCACCTCCACCACTGCCACCTGGGTTGGATGGGGCTTGGAGACAGCTGCCCAGCAGACCCTAAGGTGATGCTACCCAGTGGTCCAGCATGGACCTTAGCGCATGTGAAACGTGAAAGTATTTACTCAACACAATGGACTAGAAGCAAAATGCACCAGTACTGGTTTCTGCCTTTCTCCAGCTGCATGTTCTCCATCTTCAAACCCAACAAGGCTCAAGCAAGCTCAAATATATTGTGGTTGCTGTAGCCAAAAAATCAGTATTCACTTCAAAAAAGGAGGTCAACTGGTCTTCAAGTTGTATATAGATGCAATTTGAGAGGTTGTGATTATTCCCACCACAGGTTACAACCAGTAGAAAGCAGCTTCTTCCCTCTTCATCACACCGTGACCTGAATTTTCCGATGGCTGAGAAAAATCGAGCGGCACAAAGATTAGGGAGTTGTTAAATTGGCGTGAAGGGAAATGAAATTTCATCCATGCTACTTGGTAGACACGGGCAGGAGGCCACTTGAGGAAGCCTTGGGGAAGAGCCAAGTCTTGCAGGCATCCTGAGAAGTGAGAAATATCCTTATTTGACGTGGGAAAGACGGACACCAACTGAAAAAGTGGTTGGGGAGAAATGAACCTTCAAAAGATTTATTACCAGTTGACTGTATCCTACACACTGAACATCTTGGTCATCCACACATGAAAAATTTCTTTCCCAAACACTACAGTGGGACCAAGTCAACATATGCAGCCTTCGCTTTAAAGGAGATGTTGAAAATAAACATCATCCCTTGGTTAAATTTGGTTGACCCAACTGTTGGTCATCGTTGCCTGTGGACAACCTGAGGTTATGCTAATTCCAGAAACGTGGCTGGCCACAACAAAGCCCTTGTGAGAAACAGGGAGATTGGTACCATCATGAATGTCCAAACTCACCGAGACAAGCCAGCGGACACGGGACGAACCAGGTAGATAAAAATCATAGGTACCTTTTTACTAAATCGTAGAATGGTTTGGGTTGGAGGAACCTTAAAGATCATCAAGTTCCAACCCCCTGCCCTGGGCAGGGACACCTCCCACCAGACCAGGTTGCTCCAAGCCCCCTCCAACCTGGCCTTGAACCCCTCCAGGGATGGGGCAACCACAGCTTCTCGGGGCAACCTGGGCCAGGCTCTCACCACCCTCACAGGAAAGATCAACTTGTCTCCCTCCTGGCTCTAACTCATGGCCTGAGGTCTCTTCCCTGTTCACGTTCCATACCTTTATCGCACTCTACTAATATTTATATTTAAAACCAAATTATTTTAAAGATAAAATATGTGAAACCAAAAATTGTTGAAACTTCTGTTGAAACTAAAACAGTTTCAACAGAGTATGGCCTAAATTCACTCCTGTTCAAACTCAATATTTTACCTGAATTTCTGATTAATCGCCAAAGATGAACAACTTTTTACTGCTACCTTATTGAGGGGACTTCTCTGGAACTGAAATACATCTACCAGAAACTCTCCCAGATGATTCTGGTGGATTTGTGTTCTCTAATAAAGCCCTTTCTGCAAGAACAGGGAAGTTCACACCAACTTCATGGGTGATGATCAACAGCTGAGGACGTGCAGGTAATGATCACTCCTTAATGAACAGCCACTGAGCAACAAAAACAATTAAAACCTGATCCCACACCCATACAGGCAGTTGGACATCAGCAGAAAGCTGAGGTCACCCTCAGCTGCTCACCAAGCACCGCTCACCCTCCATCCCACAGCATGGCCACCTACATGTCTCCCCCACGGTGGTCTTCCTAAATTAATTCAACATGTTGCAGGAACAGATTTGCCCACAGCTTTACAAAAGCTGAAGAAATGGTTGTAATGGCATGAAGTTCTCCATCCCATGCCCTTGTCTCCTGTCAACCCAACACCCCATCGTCTAGATCCATTACTCAAAAGACCAAGACTCTCCAAGTCTCTCCCAACATCCCAAACCAGCCTTGAACTCTTCTTCCCAGCTCTTATTTAGGATCCTCCACCTACCATTCACGGTCGACACTCACCAGCAGGAGATGGGACCTCCGAGCCACACTTTGAGGCTTGGGGGGGAAATGTCACCTCCTCCAGAGTTTGCTTCCCAGTTTGCTCACATCCATGACAATCCTTCTGGCCACCAAAGCTCTACACCCTCTTGGGAACAGTGAGCCTTGTGCACATTAATGCTGCCAGCCACCTTCCTTCGGAAACTAGCTGTCAAATCTAACATTTGCATTTTAATTAGCCATAATCATATGTTTCACTTACATTGCAATTTTCACCTTCGCAGCCAGCTCTTTGAGGCATGAACTAATTAATCCCGCTCCCTTTGCCAGCTTCAAGAGTTAATACTTTCTGCTGCCTCAGTGCAAGTTTGCAAATCCCATTTGCAGAAAAAAGGAGATAATTCTCATAGAATCACAGAACAGTTCGGGTTGGAAGGGACCTTAAAAATCATCTTGTTCCAACCCTCCTGCCCTGGGCAGGGACACCTCCCACCACACCAGGTTGCTCCAAGTCCCATCCAACCTGGCCTTGAACCCCTCCAGGGATGGGGCAGCCACAGCTTCTCTGGGCAACCTGGGCCAGGCTCTCACCACCCTCACACCAAAGAAGTTCTTCTGAGATCTCATCTCCATCTCCCCTCTTTCAGTGTCAAACCCTTCCCCCTCATCCTGTGGCTCCACTCTCTGATGAAGCGTCCCTCCCCATCTCTCCTGTAGGCCCCCTTTAGATATTGGAAAGATGCTATGAGGTGTCTTCGGAGCCTTCTCCAGGCTGAATAGCCCCAACTCTCTCAACCTGTCCTTATAGTAGAGGTGCTCCAGTCCTCTGAGCATCTTTGTGGCCCTCCTCTGGACCCCTTCCACCAGGACCATGTCCTTCCATTCCCCAAAGCACAGGGAATTAATGGAAACGGGGTGACCACCTATGTGGTTGCTCTTAGTGACTGTAAGTATTGGTGAAGAGACCTTAAAAGTCATCCAGTTCCACCCCCCTGCCCTGGGTGAGGACACCTCCCACCAGACCAGGTTGCTCCAAGCCCCCTCCAACCTGGCCTTGGACCCCTCCAGGGATGGGGCAGCCACAGCTTCTCTGGGCAACCTGGGCCAGGCTCTCACCACCCTCCCAGCAAAGTTCTTCTGAGATCTCATCTCCATCTCCCCTCTTCCACTGTCAAACCCTTCCCCCTCATCCTGTGGCTCCAGTCTTTGATGAAGCGTCCCTCCCCAGCTCTCCTGTAGGCCCCCTTTAGATATTGAAAAGATGCTATGAGGTCTCTTTGGAGCCTTCTCCAGGCTGAATAACCCCAACCCTCTCAGCCTGTCCTCATAGTAGAGGTGCTCCAGCCCTCTGAGCATCTTTGTGGCCCTCCTCTGGACCCCTTCCACCAGGACCATGTCCTTCTATTCCCCAAAGCACAGGGAATTAATGGAAACGGGGTGACCACCTATATGGTCATCCCTGGAGGTGTTTCATCCCTGGAGGTGTTCAAAAGACAGGTTGATGAAGTGCTGGGAGGTATGGTTTAGTGATGGTGATGCTCCTTGTTTGTTGTGTGGGTGTCTATTTTTGTCAGTGAGGTTGACGGTTGGACAAGATGATCTTTAAGGTCCCTTCCAACCTAGAAGATTCTGTGATTCTGTGGTTTCTCTTAGTGACTGTAAGTATGGGTGAAGTTGGTTGTGTTGGTAGAGCTGTAG